CCTAAACCCTAAACCCTAAGCATCGTTAAGCCTTAAGCGTTTCGGATTTTGGGGGTTTCGGGTGCTTGGGTTCAAGAGCTTTCGTGTTACAGCGTTTCGGACTGTTGGCGTTGGCTGTGGGACTTTGGTGTGTATCATGACTATCGTGGTCTACCGAACAGAGGGGTCTGAACTATGCAACATTGAAACATAGTACAGGGAAACATCTCTTACCAAATGCACGAAGGCCCTATTACAAACATTGCGGTCCCTATCTCAAACTAAACCTGGGAGGCTCCAACCTCCCCCGCCACTATGTCGACCGCCCATGTTGGCAAACGGATCTATAAACACTACATGCACTAATAGACCCTAAACCCTACACCCGTAACCCCAAACCCTAAACCCTAAGCCCCTATATCCCTAAACCCCTAAATCCCTAAACCCCTAAACCCGCAACCCCAAATCCTACATATACTAAGTCTGCGAGGGAGCCCGAACTCAGAGGCGCGCTGCGACCTTCAGAGCTGCTGCTGCTGCTGCCCTGAAGCAGAGGAGCAATGAGGCTCTGTTTTGGGATGCTAACAATTAGAATAGGGCTTTGGGTTATTTTATACCATATTTTTGTAACAAGGAAGCCCCCAAATAGCATGTGTAATTCTTTAGGCTTCTATATTAGGGAGGTTCTGTTTGGGGATGCAAGTAGAACATGAGGGCTTCAGGGCCCGGGGTTTGGGTTTGGTGATTGCAAGGTTAAGCATCTAAACATTGACGTAGGATTCATACGTACCTCAATCAGGGTTGGCTTACTAAACCCACTGAAAAATAACGTACCTGCTAAGTTTCCCCCCCGGGCAGCTTCGTGAAGGGCCGTCTGTGATGGTTGGAAAAAAGTTCAACATTTTTTGGTGTACGGTTTCGGGATTTAAGCCATGTCCGTTAATTCAGGGTTTAGAACCCTAAACCCTAAACCGTTTAGACTCTAGGGCTTCGGGATTTTGCCGTGTCTGTTAATTCAGGGATGTTGCAGTCTCGAGGTTCGGGTTTAGGGTTTAGGGTTTAGGGTTTAGGGTTTAGGGTTTAGGGTTTAGGGTTTAGGGTTTAGGATGGAAAGCAATGGACAAAGGACACCCGAAGGATTTTCGGCGCACGGGACCTCCGTCGGAAGCGGTTCAAGGCTTGATGGCTACACCCTAGACCCTAAACCCCCTAAACCCTGAACCCGAAACCCACTAAGACTAAACCCTAAATCCCCTAAGCCAGAACCCCCAAACCCCTAAACCCTTAAACTCCTGAACTCTAAACCCAAAACACATAAAACACTAAACCCCCTACACCCGAACCCCCCAAACCCGAACCCCCAAACCCCTGATCATGGTTTAGGGCTTTACTTGCTGGTTCTCCTGAACCCTGGCCTGGACCCTGGTCACCCACTTCCAAACCTGCACTACTTTTGGCATGCTCCACTTTAGGGTTCATTATTCTGGTTTAGGGTTTAGGGTTTAGGGCATAGAAACTAGAAACTAAATCTCTCTCTCTCTCTCTCTCTCTTTTACATTTTCTAAATCACCAGGCCGATACATCGGCACACCACCGAAGAAACCGACGCTAAATCCTTAAGCTCAAACCGGAATGCCTACAAAAATGAGGATGGGAATATTCCATATATATATATATATATATATATATAACTACATCCCCATATAATGCAGCCCATAAGGCACAGATATCCTTTCAACATGTTTACACTTACGGGTGTTTTTCAATTTTAGGGGCCCTTTTAGGGTCCTTTTTACAAGGGTGCCGTACTATTTGGGGGACCCTAAAGGGACCCTGATTTAGAGAAGTACCCTTATGTCAGGACGGGTGCCGCAATCTAAAGCTGCAGCGCAATCCACAGTTTAGGGCTTTAGGGTTCAGGGTTAAGGTTTAGGATTTAGGGTTCAGGGGGTAGGTCGAAACCCCAAGCTTGACTTCAGTTTGGGGGATGAGGTTTAGCGGGGGCTTCGGGGTTTGATTTCAGAGCTGCAGTGTTCATTATAGTCCCTAAACCCTAAACCCTAGACCCTAGACCCAAAACCCTAAACCCTTAAACCCTAAACCCTAAACCCCAAACCCTAAACCCTAGACTCCAGTATTATGATAATAAATAGCCTTTCTCCTAGCAAAGGACCCGTGACCCATCCTCGCTGCTGCTGCTTTCATCTGACTCCTGGTCGGAAAAGGGGTCTGTGAAGGGGGTCTAGATTCGGGATTAGGGCTTCGGGTTTAGGGTTCAGGGTTTAGGAAACTACAGGTGCGGAGGTTAGGGTATATAGGGCTTCTATAAGGCTTCTATAAGGTATATAGACCGTCTATAAGGCACCTATGACGGTAACTACCCACCTGAAAATGTCCTCGACTGAAAGGGCCCCATGATGGTTTTATATAGAAATCGATAGAAATTCAAACAGCTGAGGGCGTGGAGCTAGGGCTTAGGGTTTAGGAGTTAAGGGCTTAGGGCCCTAATGGTTACAAGTTATTTATTCACGAATTCCCTAACCCCTACATCCTAAACCCTAAACCCTAAACCCTAAACCCTAAACCCTAAAACCTAAAACCTAAACCCACGCTTGGAGCCTCTGGGGCTGTTGGCTTTAAGGTATAGGGTTTTCCTGGTCTTATGATGTTAGGGTTTCGGCTTTGTGCTATAGGGTTAGGCGTAGGGTTTGGATTTAGGATGGTAGGGTTTAAGTTTAGTGTTTAAGTTTAGGCTGCATACTGTAGGGTTTGGATACAGGGTTGAAGGTTTGAAGTTGGGTTCTACGCCCTCGTCCCAGGATTTCTAGGAAATAGTAGACAATAGATCGAGGGGCAGCCAGTCTTCAGTCTTCAGGATCTTGATCGCAAGAAAGATTTTTGGGCTTCTGCATTAATTTTCTTTAGTAGTACTAGTGCTAGTGCTACTGGGAATGCTAGTGCTAGTAGCCGTAGAAATAGCAACGAACCGTTGCCTTGATATGGCAACCTCGACTTTCACGCGACTNNAACTTTAACGGATCTTTCGCGCTACACTCGCTAGCCATACCGCATTTTGGCATCTGCCTGGAGCCTGCTGCATAGTTGGTTTGAAACAGACATGTCGTGCTAAAGGAGTAGCAGTAACAGTAGCAATAGCAGGAGCAGTGCCAGTGCTAGTACTAGTACTAGTGCTCGTACAAATATAAGTACAAGTATTGGTGCAGTTACTGGTACTCGTACTGATACTAGTAGTATAGTAGCAATGGTGGTGGTGGTGGTAGTAGTAGTAGTAGTAGGAGTAGCATAGAAATAGTAGAATCTAGTAGAAGAATTGTTATTATTATCATTATTTGTTGTAGTAATCGTAATAGTGGGCAAATAGGCTAACACGATAACTTTCGCAAAAAAAAATCTCTTTAGCAGACCCATCGCGGAACTTTCGCGATGGCATGTGTTGTCATGCCCGTGATCGTTTTGTATAAATACAGCCACCAGGACCTTTAGATCAATGCCCATATAGGGGTCTCAAAAATTGGAATAGGGTTTGGGTGTATATCATACTATAATTATACGAAGGAACCCCCAAAACCCTATTCGAATTATCAAGGCCCCTACATTACCAACAACAGAAGCAGTACTATGAATAACCGTCCTCACCGCCAAGGCTTGATTCGGGCATAGGCTTTTCGGTTACAACTCAGTGCTTTCAGCTTTCCTGCGCCGTGAACTCGCAAAACAATCCACAACATTTTGTGGAGTGCCACTGTAGCACTTGCAATTCATCCAACCGTAGTATAGCTGCCTGAATAATTGGAACAGGGTTTGGGGGAGGGGGGTGAAGTCATGCCACAAAGGAATGAATCTAATTGCCTAGACCCTCCATCTACCCTCTATTAGATCCCAAATACCCAATATTTGCGAGTATATACCCCTACTTGAGGGTCCAAGGACCTGGTACTAATTACCGAAGCTCTTTGCCTAACCCATGTGACAAAAATTCTAATCCTCACCCCCCAAACCCTGAACCCTAGCCCCCGTAGTCGTACGACCCGCGCTTCCTCCGTCGTAGAGGTTTTGCTGGCTGAGGCCTGAACTTGCACCGTAAAGGGTTTGGGGATTGGGGGGGGTTAGGGTTATGGGATGAAGATGATGGTTTAAGCCCAAGCTTCAGGGCAACGACATTCGTGTCACGGATGCATGGGTTGTGTGCCTAATTGCTTCTGACAGAAGCCTGAACCCCTCGAAACCCTAGCCGTGAACCAGAACTTGGGCATCGAGGGTTTAGGGCGTAGGGTTTAGGTTTAGGGTATAATGATAACAACAAGACATGTAACAATAAGAACAACAACAATCATAATAATAGCACTTTCAGTTTTTAACAACCCCCCCTAAACTCTGAACCGTAAACCCTATATGAAACAAAACCCACATAATCTAGGGGCCTTCATAATTAGCGTAGGGCTTTGGGGTATATTATGCCCAATCCTATTTTGGGGGTTCCTTACTATAGCTTTAGTATAGTTTACCGCCAAGCCCTATTCTAATTCTTCATGCCCCTATGTTACTGTTACAACACCCAGGTCCCCCAAGAGGAGCCCCCAAGTACGCGCTCTCCGAAGGGTTTAAGTGTTTAATAGGGTTTAGGGGTTTGGGGTTAAGGGTTTAGGGTTTAGGGGTTAGGGGTTTAGGGGTTTAGGGTTTAGGGTTCAGGGTTTACGGTTTAGGGGGGTCTAGGGATTATAAGGGTTTAGACCCTTAAGCGTCATAACTCCTCCGTGGTTGATAATAGACGCTATGTGGGATATAACAGAGGATGCTGGAAAGTCTAGGTACTAGGGTTGAAATCTGACATCGCACAGTCCTCCAGATCTTAAGAACTTTAGGATTGGGGACCCTCGCAAATATAGACCCTCTCAATAAGGTCCCTGTTTAAGAGAGCCAAAAGTGGGGTTCAGAAGGGTCCCCTTTAAGGGGTCTCCCCAGTACTGCCTAGGAAACTTGAGAGTGAGGTTTGTTGTTTCTCAGGTTCTGCCGATAAGGCATCTTGGGGGAAGAGGCTTTTTGAGAGTTTAGGTTAAGGGTGTGGGGTTTGGGGTTTAGAGTTTAGAGTTTAAGGTTTAGGGTTTGGGGCTTTGGGTTTTGGAGTTCAGGGCGTCTTAAAGGCTTACCTGTATCCCCAAACCCTACAAAATAGTAGGTTATGAACCCTTAATTAGAAGGTCTAACCCTTAAAACGGTAGGGTTTTGGATCCACAGGTAGGGCTGAGGGGTTAGGAGTGAGAAGGGTGCAGTGGGCCAGGCTCGGCGGTTGAGGGTAGACCCCCAACCTGGCGTCAGATTTTGTGGGCAAACGCTCGGTTTAGGGTTTGGGAGTTTTGGATTTAGGGTTTAGGGTTTTAGAGCTTGGGGTTTAGGGTTAACCCATCGGCCCTAAAGTAGGTCTTTTTGGGGGTTCATATTTAGAATCCTATTAGGTAACCCCCATAAAGAAGTACCATGGGACCTATGGGTAGAGTTTAGGGCCTGTAGGTTCTACGAGGGTTTTATCAGGCTCCTATAAGCCGTCCATCAGGGTCAGGGGCTCTGTAGAGGTTTACACCCCTGTAGCTTAGATCAAGTTTCCAAACGCCGAGAGCCTGTGTCTGCGAGTTCCGGGTCTCGCCCATGAGGCTAACAGCAAGAAACAAAGCCGGACCTCCTACGACTAACTGTTTAACTACCGTGGAATAATAAGGTTGCAACGCCGTCATGCCAAGAATACAACTACACTTTAAGAGGCAGCAGCCACAGACGACATGTGTCCTGACCCTCGAAACTCTTCTTCGGGAAGCAAGCCGAAAACACAGAGTCAGCCCGTGGTGAAGCTGCGAATCCGTTTACCGCGTATATTTCTAACACCACATTGAAATGAGAAGCCCAAAACAGATGGCAAACGCGTCCGTCATTTCACTAGCCTTTGAACTTCTCTCGACGCATCTCGCCCACCGCCGCCTAAAATCCTCAAGCCCAAATACCAAGGTCCTGAACCTCAAAGCCCACAAACCCAAACCCCAAAACCCTAGAGCCCCAAAACCCTAAAGCCC